AATTTACAGATTATTTCTACACGAAAAAATATCATAACAAAATATTTGGCAAAATAAATAAGTAGATAAAAATCTATTCAAATTATTTGTGTGAGACTCTAATTTAGAGAGCTCTTTTTGACAATATAACCTTGCAATCAGAGTGCATTAAAGACGATGATATCAATGATTTACTTTTAGAGTTGAGAGTTAAATTAGAAAGAAAGGTTATTTTAGAAGAAGAAAAAAAAAACAATCAAACAAACCTCTTCTCATCTTTTAACGCTAACTAATTTTCATGATTAAAATTATATGCGAATTTAATATGATTCTAATTTAATATGACACAAAATTAAATTCAAACTTAAACAAGAAACATAATTGATTATTTATTTGAAACAGCTTGATAATTCAAAATTGGTAAATTTGTTTTTACACATTATATCAATTGGGATCACTTTTAAAAAAGCTAAACATTATTCATGGATCCGTTTTTCCATGACGCCATCAGAAGTGGTATTTCCGCACCAAGAAAATGACACTAACTAAAAATAATAGCGTATGCGAATGATATCAGGGATCCGAAGACATGCCATCACAATTCTGATCCTCTGAAGGGGGATAGCACCCCCGCTTCTGTAGCCCGACGACCTGCATGCGATGTCGAGCACTTAACGTTAGAGCAGTTTAACGAGGGCAAATACCGCACACCCTCGGTCCCTACTCAGGCTGATCCAAGTGGTCACCCACCCTCACACTGACCGCAGCCACTGATGCTTGACTTCGGTGATCTGCTGAGAACCGTGTCTTAACTTCAGTCCACTGCGGGACATTTATATTTTATTTTCTGTCGCATGAGATTATTTTTAAACAGTTCATAGATACTAAATACATTGGTGATTTCAAATCTGCAATCCGTGTCTACAAGGCTACAGTTCTTATGCAGTTTATTAATTTAGTCCGAACCAGTATTTTTTAAATTCAATTGAGTGACAGCTATGTATCCCCACTTCTGCGGTACGGAAGGCGTGGTAGAAAGAAGGCGAATACATTTCAGTTTTATACGATAAGTTAAGGACATACTATGTTTTATGTCTAAAGTGTTATCTTCAAGGAAACAGACTATAGCAGTGGGGGCTCAGGGGATAAAGCGTTCACCTTCCAATAAGGTGACCTAGGCTTAAATCCCAGCGATTGCTGGTAAATACGAATTCTGCTCCAGGCTCGTATTTACAATAGTGATGACATTAAATATCCTCAGTGGTAGACGGATCATGGGTTGGACATTTTTTGCCATCGGGCTAACCGCGAGATGTTTTTGTGGTTTTCCCCTCCATGTAACGCAATTGTGGATTAGTTACATTAAAAGTTCTCCACGATCGCTAGTTTGTTCTAATGTTTGATCCAAGAGTTTCCTTGTCATTTGAGTTGGATTCAAAGTTTCAAAAGCTACGGAGTTGAACACGGCTACTGCTTTTTAAATTATTTATAAATTTGTACAGTCCGATAAAAAATTAACTAAAATTGAAAATATATTTAGCTTTCGGAACAAAATTGGTGACAAATCTAAAATTCTCACACCTGAAGACTAAATATATTTATATAAATGTGACATACCTACATATAAGTTTCATATATTAAAATTGAATAATTATAGAGGTAGACATAATACATTTTGTTTTGTAAATTTGGATTAATGCTTTCCAGGTCTAATCTGGCACCACTTAATCCAAATATCCGAAACTATTTGCTTCGAAGCGTTCATAAATGTTTAACAACCACAATTCTTTAAACAAAAGTTGACTGAATGAAGTTTGACTCTTTAATTAAAAAAAAGAAGGTGTTTTATGTCAAAGTTGCAAACATGTTGCTTCACTAAAATTTGCAAACCGAAATATGCCGTTACGCAAAGGGTTAAGGTTATTTTCCACTCCACTTAAGATGTAAATGATTCGAAAATTTATATGAAATACTTTGTTCCAGCTCTCTTGTGGTGAAGCTTTTAAAATAATGAAAAAATTACCAAACTTTCTGAAAGCTTTTGAAGACTGTGTAAAATATTTTTCAAAACGTAAGAGAGTTCGCTCAACACCTCCTAGAAGTAGAAAGGCCTCAGCACGGATCAATTTAGTAGTCCGATGTGACAAAGTTAACTGCGCAGTAGACGAAAAATAAGAAAGATATCATTACGTTAGGGGTACTAAGCTGCGCAGTGGTTGAAAATAGAAAATATGTCATTACGTTTGGACTACTAAGGGATATTTATGGTAACCCGTGCTGAGGCCTGTTCTTTCTAGGAGGTGTTCGTTCGCTACCTTCTATGACATAGTGGTATACAAACTTTCTAATTTTTTTGAACTTATGAGGGCTTAGAATACCTGGGCTTGTACGCATCTGGAAAAAAATTAATAATTGAAATCAATTTTGTTTTAAAGAAGGTGGAAATTTTTTAATATTAGCTTCTACTATGGAATTAAAATTTTTATACCCGCCTCCTTCGGATCTATGCTTATTTAAGTAGAGAAAATAAAATATCCTTGTAACTACAAGCATAATAAAACAAAAGATTTCATATTAATATTACTAAAATTTTTTAATTCTTTCTAGGTACGTATGAAATCCTAATAGGGTAAACTAACAAGTGATGGAACACTTAAACTTCGCTTGCCTTTTAAAAAATCATATTAATTTCAAAACTTGTAATTTTAGTTAAATGACAGTGTCAGCATATTTGTTACTAATTGCAAATTACGTAAAAAAATTGTAGAGAACTTACATTAGGTTTTAAAGTTTTTAAAGTTTTAAAGTTTTAGTATCGTTTTAAAGTTTTGGAGGTTCAAATAACAAGTAGTAAGAAGACCATGTGAAGGAACAGCTTTTACCAGTGAATAAACACCCTGTAAAGGAACACCTAATTTTGGTTATTTTTTAATGCTCTTTATGAATTAATAAGCCATGCAAATATTTAAAAACAAGCCTATTCTTGAAATTATAACATACAAATACTTTCTAATCATGAATTGAAAATTAAAGTGTCAACAAATTAACACATACTGTTCATACACTGGGAAATCTATGCCCAGTAAGGGAACATGCCTGTTCCCTCACTGGTTAGAAGTTGTTTTTCGTATTTTTAACATACTTTTGATGCGGAACATCACTAAAGGTACAAGAAAATTAAAGTTTATCTTTTATTTTCATTAACTTAGAAAAAAACCCAGTAAAGGAACACTTGTTCCTTCACTGTTTTTTCATCGTTTGGTGATCCAGTGAATAAACACCCCTTATCTCAGTACTTTATTATGCTATGATGCTTTAAAAAAATAAAACGTAACTTCGCTAACTATATTTTGAATTCTCCTTTTCACAGTGAGAAAAATAAAACTATTACGTGCAATTAATTCCACTTCAAACATATAAATGCAAACACTCACCTTATAATTTTTTTCAAAGAAACAAAGTGTTGCAGAGATAATAACAAATTCAAAAAATTTTCCAGAGAAGTCTATTTGACCAGGTAATCCAAAACATTGCTAGATGACTTCCTATTGTTTGGCAGTAAGCTATTGTCACCAATCAATCTAAAGAAAAACTTACAAATTCTTATTTTTAATCAATATGTATGAAATTTTCCTTCACTGGTTGGTTTTCCCTATTTCAGTGTAAATTTTTAAGCCCGCGTTTAAGGATTAGTTATTATTCTTAACATCATTCCATCTCATGATTTAATTATTATATATAACCATTTAATTTTATTTTATGTTATTCCATTTCTGAAAAAAAAGCTCTTAAACTATTACTGACTAGAAATAAATCTATTTTTAGAGATTATTTATGTGGTAAAAATTTAAGTTCTGTGGATGTATAAATGGATCCACCCTATAAGCGAGCAATGGCGTGTGTGTGGTTGAAGTCGTATTCCTGACCATAGATGATGGATGACCCTTTCAATTACTTTTAATTATCACTAGTAGAGAGAGAGTAAATTATATGAGAGAAAGAATTAAATAATTAATCAGTGAAGGAAGATTAAGTAATATATTAAGTAAAATATATCAGTAAAAATATTAATAAATGAAGAAAGAATAGAAAAGTTAAAAAAGATTTATTCAAGGAAGGTATTAATAAAAAAGAAAGAGTAAAATAGTTTTCCTTTGTGAAAAATAATTCATAAATGAAGAAAAAATAAGTAGATACTTTTATTCAGTGAAGATATTGATAAATGACGAAGAATTAGAAAAATTAATAAAATGAATAAATAAAATAAAATGATAAAAATAAAATATATTCAATAAATATATAAAATTCAATAAATGATTAATAAAAAGGAAAGGTTAATAAAATGAATATTTTATTAATCTTTCCTTTTTATTAATAAAATCCTTTTATTAATAATTAATAATAATTATAAATAATTAATATTAATAATATTTCCTTTTTATTAATAAATAAAGGAAAATTAATAAAATGAATAAATAAAATAAAATGATCAAAATAAAATGTGTTCAATAAATATATAAAATTCAATAAATGATTAATAAGAAGGAAAGATTAAAATAGTTTTATTTAGTAAAATAGTTAATATGTGAAGAATAAGTAAAATATTTTTATTTAGAGAAAATGCTGATAAATAAGAAAAAGTAGCAAAATTTAAATAGCTTTATTTAATGAAATGGTTAATAAACTGGAAGAATAAATAGTTTTATTCAGTGAAATAATTAATATGCTAAAGAAGAGTAGGTAAAATATTTTTATTCAGTAAAAAGGTTAGTAAATAAAAAAAGAATAGAAAAATTAAAATAGATTTATTTAATTAAACGGTTAATAAAAAAGAAAGAGTAAAATAGTTTGATTCAGCATCTATCATATTAAACAAAAACATCTGAGGAATTCGCATAAAATTAATGAGATTCATGATGACTGGCTACCTAAAAACATCAGATTGGCGAGGCTTCTTCATAATTTCGCCAAACAAGTAACCCTGAAATTTTTCCCGCTGTTTCCGTTTTCATACAAATGTGATTCTTTCGTTTTAATCCGACAGTTTTATTTTAGATTGGAAGGACCACAGTTCCTTCGAAATATTCGAACAATATATTTTTATATCTTTTAATTTATTATAGTTTTTGTGATATAGTAAAATGGCAGTTGGTCTCTGGTTTTATCGAATTTCCATTGCAATAATTTTCATTATTTATTCCATTCATCTTATTAATGGTAAGTTCTAACAGTTTTAATTGATTATAAATTAATTTTGAGAATTATTTCAATAAGTAAAAAGCTAACATTGTTATGGATATCTGTGTTAAATATGGAAAAAAAACTATAGCTCTTTAAAGCTACTTCTTAAAAAAAATTTAATGCTTTCATTTATTTATTTTTATCGAAATTAATTTTAATAATTTAAGATAAATTTATTTATTTTAAAAAGATTTTTGTGAAGTTTGTTTTAGAAAGAATACAAGCTAATTTTAATTTGTTTTATTTCATTTTATTTCAATAAATTTCTGAAATTCTTTTCAATAATACGACAGCTAAAATTGTTTGTAACATCACTTGTAATAAATATGTTTTTATTTTATTAAATTTTCATTTTCTGCCGATTACCATACCCGATTAAATTACTTTCTGGGGCATAAATGCCCTATTTTCCCTCAAAGTTTTGAAACTACCTCTATGAAAATTGTGATAAGCCATTTAAGATTCAACAATGACTTACATTTTTCATTATAAGTTACTATAAGTTTTAATTCTAATAATTGACTTAATTTAAAATATAATTAAAATTATAAATAATTGAGTAATAATAATACTGGGGAAAAATCTCTTGTTGTACTATTTATATATACTAATATAATTTATACAAGTACTATGTATAATTTGTACAAGTTATTNTTTTTTTTTTTTTTTTTTTTTTTTTTTTTTTTTTTTTTTTTTTTTTTTTTTTTTTTTTTTTTGCTTATTTAATTTTGTCTGGATTTACAGGTTTATAAATAACGTATAGGTTTATATGCATATATATATACATTTGTTTGCTACTTTAAAAATAATACCCAAGAGGATAAATAAAAATGGCTTTTACGCATCAAATGATTAACTTAAATGCATTATCGCCTTCCTCTTACCATTTCCTACGTAGCAGAGGAGTGAGGACGCTTAGTGTTCTTTCCAATGACTTTACAAAAGAATCCTAATTAGAAATATATTATTGAATTGCATAAAAACTATAGCTTATAGAGAGAAGCGGATTGCAAATTTATAATGAAACGTGAAAATATTTAAGGTCCGTACAAAAATTTCATGCAACAGGAAATTTCATGTTCCCCGGTGCTTGATGCTAAAAATATTAGTTTTCAAATCGGAAAAATTCATGTCCATTGCGGTAAATACAGCAATAAGCGATAGTGGTAATTTCTTATAGTTTTCTAATCAGCATAGATTAAACAGCGTTATTAATTCGCTATTTATGAGAGTGCAAATTATTTAAAAACACACAACTGGAAATACTAATACAGTAGGGAACCGATTATCCGGAACGATCGGGACCATCGATATTCCGGATAACTGATCTTTCCGGTTTTCTGAATCGCTACAAAAAACCGTTTTTTTTTTTTTTTTTGTTAAACCCAACTAAAAAAAAAGAATTTGAAATAATCTTAAAAAGAAGAAAAAACGATGAAGTAATACACTAATGATTATTTCCAAAATGATGGTAAGGTAAACATCTTTCAAAAAAGAACGAAAAATCCTAAAATCTTACGAGGAAAAAAAAATTTTTTTTTTTTAAATGGCGGGAAAATTTATCGAATTTCTTTCCGGTTTTTTGGTTTTCCGGTTTTCTGATTTCCGGATAACGGGTTCTGTACTGTACTATATGTAATTCTTTATTGATGTTTTATTTGCAATAAAAAGTAGAGTTTATCATATGAATTGAAATAACATTTGAGTTTTATTTTTTATTTTTATATACATTTTAATTTCTGCAAAAATACATGCAATAAGTTTTTTTTAATTTTAAATCGAGTTACTTTACTACATTATGTTATTTTGTTTATGTTTATTTTGAAACAAATGTATCATGATAATCGTGAACTATCTTATTGATGTCTAGCCATAAAAAGTGGTTCGACTTTAATGAAAATAATTTATGAAAAGCTTCTACATGAAAAGTATGATATTATATATTGTTTATACCAAGTGGATAATTTGCTCTGTTACCTATCTCAATAGTTTTTTTAAATACTTGATTTTTTACTTCGAGGCACTACTATTTCGTGACATCATCGTATGTTTTAATCCTTTTTTGACATTTGTCCTGACAAAAATTAGTTTTTGAAGGCAAAAACCCAATCTTACTTGAACAAAAAATGCTGTTAAAAAACATATTTCATTTTCACTTTTTATTCGTGAGAAGTAAATTATTTGCTTACTGTTGTTGTTTCTATTGCTACTTGTTAATACCAGCAAGCCTGCTTGGGAAATCAAGCGAATTTAAGGCAGAGGGTGCGCTTCTTGTTTCACAGTGGCGTCACCTATGGCCAAAAATACGATTTTTAACCACACACACACGTCACGGCCTGTTTTACAGGGTGGTCCCATTCACTCATTCATCCACTGATTGTAATTTTGACCTGAAGCAGGGAACTATCAATATCTAATTTAGTAAACCCAGAGGTAATGATTTGTTATGGGAACTCGGTGGTTTTTGTGACCACGACAGGTGACTCAACAAAGGTGAGGAAAGTATGGCAGGTATTTGAAATCAACATAAAACAAGTCAAAGTCATGATTCACGACCATCTTATTAATTGACTTTAAGTCAAAAGCCTTTGATTTTAGCTTTTAACTACCGTCTCTTAAAAAAGTCTTTCTTGCGTATAATTGTTGATGCCTATGTTTGAAGGCATTAACAATCATAGGCATCAAAAACCTATGCATGTTGATGCCTGTGTTTGAAGAAAAAAAAGTCATCTGAATATTTTAATCTTCTAACAAATAGTACAACAAAATTATTTTCTTACCAATTTTTGACCATTTGTGTCGTAAAATAGATAACCTTTGAGCCTTGGTGGAAAACGTGTAAAATCAATAGATTCGCCATAGAAAATTTGAAGCGAGAATTGACTCATTAGATTACATTAAAGCCCCAAACGTTCACATATTCTAGTTCAAAAAAGAGTAGCAACTCGAATTTCTATTCTTGCAACAAATTTCTTTGTCATGTGACAGCTCAAACACAATTTTTAAAAAATTAGAAAATTGGGGATGAAAGTACTAGGACTGTATGCTATACCAATAATCGTAAGCTAATTTTTTAAATTGTTAAGGAGAGCGTGTTTTAAAAGTATGAGGAGTAGTATTTTCATTTTGGCAGTAAGATGTGTCTGCTATATGCAATAGCAATTCTGAAAACTGATCTGGAAACGATACTTAGTAAGAGTTCGACGTAAAAATGACACCTTTTGGAAAATATTACTGAGCCTTGCACTACCCAAATCTCTGCATATATAGTACCCTAGTCCATGATTAGTTTTTAGCATATTTTTCCGACTTCTTTGGCTTCAAAAAAAGTCTAAAGATGGTAAGAAAAGTTTACAAGTTTCAAGCGATAAAACATAAGCGGTCATTCTCAAGACCATTGAAAAAAAAGTGATTTGATGTGATTAAAAAAAGTGATTACCATCTTTGTATTTTTTGAATCCAATGAAGTTTTTGATCAAGTTTATCATTTCGCTCCAGTTACTTGGAATTAGTTATTTAATATTTTTCTACTGTTATTAGGCTCTTGCCCACCCCATCAGTTTCAGTGCGAAAATGGTAGGTGTATTCCCGTAACATGGCACTGTGACGAAGACAACGACTGTGGTGACAATACCGATGAGACTAGCTGCGGTAAGTTTGAATGTTTTATATCATGTTGAATGAAATCAAGTTAAGCAAACTTCCCTACAATATGAATATTAAATACAGTAGGGAACCGATTATCCGGAACGATCGGGACCATCGCTATTCCGGATAACTGATTTTTCCGGTTTTCTGAATCACTACAAAAAACCGTTTTTTTATTATTAAACCCAACTAAAAAATAAAAATATTTGGAAATAATCTTAAAAAGAAGAAAAAACGAATAGTAATACACTAATGATTATTTCCGAAATGATGGTAAGGTAAGCATCTTTCAAAAAGGAAATAAAATCCTCTGAGGGAAAAAAAATTTTTTTTTTTAAATGGCGGGAAAATTCATCGAATTTTGTTCCGGTTTTCTGATTTCCGGATAACTGGTTCTGTACTGTATATTGAATATGCATTATTTCGTTTATTATTACTTCAAATTAAATTAAACAATTGAATTAGGTTTCATCATGCATTAAAATATTTAAAAATAATCTCCCCCTTTCGTTAACTTTCTGTAATATTTTTTTCCAAAGTTGCAATTACGACCATCCAAGAGTTGACACTCAAAACTAAGTAATTTCGAATGGTTTTTATGTCACTGATTATGAGCATTTAAAAACAAAATGGCGGATCTGCGGTGAAATTGATTTTGATTCGAACATCTATTGTGTTCAGAGCCTAATCTAAAAATGCAGGGGTCTTAGGCACAGAACAGTCTTTACTTAGTCGTTACTTTAAACCAAATTTACATGTTGCTTAGTTATGAGGTGTTTTTAAATTATTTATAACGAAAGTAAATTACGATATATTAGTAAATTTGAGCTGCTATTTATTTCAATTTTTCTTTACTTACCGACAATCCCTAAGGGAAATAAACAATTAGAAAATATTTACAATATTTAGGGGGCCCCCCAAAATGTGGGGCGTAAGCTCTGAGGTTTCATGATAAATCAGGCACTGATTGTGTTATTGTAATATTACATAATCTATAGTGAAATGCTTGTACTTATGCAGTTTCCTTAGATTAGATTCAGTGAAAAACTAAGTAAAACTGTGTAATTTCGAGTCTTTTTATGTCAATGATTATGAAATTTTAAAAACAAAATGGTGGATTGGCAGTGAAGTTGATTTTAATTCGAACTTTTATTGTGTTATTATAATATACATAATCTATCGTGGAATGTTTGTACTTATTCAGTTCCCTTAGATATGATTTAACTGTTGCATTGTCTGCTGTCTGTCCTATGAAGGAAAATATCTTTTCTTGTTTAGCGCTCTTTCAATTTTCCGCAATGAGGAAGACACATAATTGGCTATGAGCCAGAAAATAAATACCGTCATTTTATAGAGCAAAACACTACAGCAAATTGAATTATAACGATCTTTAAGTGAAAGATTCAAGAGCAATATCTTGTTATATCATTTCTTCTTCTTTTTTTCTTTCCTTTCTATTGTTGCCAAAACTTAGTCTGTTATCAGCATTAACTTAAGTCTTCAAAATGTTTGCTTTAACTCATGAAAGTATTGATAACAGCGATTAACCAAATAATGAATCGAAATGAATTTGTTTTTTTAAAAAGCGTATCACTTTTTTTTCTATCAATGTCACGATTTTTTTTATTTTATTTATAACAAGTTATTTTTATCATCGGCGTTTTAATCATTTAAAAAAACATTAAAGTACAACATTTATAGGTCTGAAGATATTTGAAAGTTTCATAATTGAAAAGCGATAAGCGGCACAAAAAAATAAATAAAAAGAGAGAGAGAGATAGATTGGGATTTGTGTAGTGAGCTGTTATTTATTTATTTATTTTTTTTTGGCTAATAATTTTAGTTGTAATCAGTCTATTTATTTTATAACCGTCGTTGAACAGCCGAGCCAATATTGAGTTTACGATTACCAATACCGACTACCAACCAATACCAATTGCGACTGCCAACTCCGTAGCCTTGTAATTTTGAACCCAATCCAGAAGACAAGGCAACTTTTGGATCAAGCATTGGAACAAACTAGCTCTTGTGGAGGACTTTTTGATGGAACTAACCAGCATTTGCGTTACATGGAGAGAAAAATCACGAAAACCTCCCAATATTAGCCTGACAGCAAGGGAATTCCAATCCATGATCACTGAAGATGTTTTAAGTCAGCACTGAGATCGGTGCGAGCCAGAAGCAAAATTCCTAACAACAAAACACCACTGGGATTCGATCCTGGGTCCTGAGGCTTTAACTTTTCAATTGCTATATTTATTATTATTCCTTTTAATTTTTTCTTGAGTTTGAAAGGCACTTATCACTCCCGCTGCTAAACTATGACGAAATTTAAAAATATTGATGGTTACAATAGCAGGGAGCCCTGTGCTAAAATTGTTATAGTGGTAGTTCACTCCTCAAAGTAGTGGAAATTCAACGAGTTCAGTAATCACTTAAAGCTATAATATGTCCTGCAATTGCGGTTCGATTAAACTTTTGCTACCACTTGGAAATTTCTTCATCAAAAAGAATGCGTTGTTGCTCTAGTACAGTGCTTCCCAAAGTGTGGTACGCGTACCCCCAGGGGTACGGGAACAGTTTAGAGGGGATACGCGTTCTTATGCGAAATATCTTGCAACAAACGAAAATTTCAAAAAATTTTATTTAAAATTAAAGCTAGCCAGGAAAATTTACGATTACGTATTTTTCTATTGGTTATTTCACAGTTAATAATTAGTAATATCAACAGCCAGTAGTGATTTTTAACTTTTGTGCAATTTTTTTAAAGTAAAAAATGCATTCTTTTTTTTATTAGTGGTACAACGAGTTACGAAAAATTTACAAAGGGTACACAAAAGTCATAAGTTTGGGAAACACTGCTCTAGTAGTAAACAAATTTAAGTTATTTTTAGTCTAGCATTTCTCATTTTAAGTAATTTTTCCACCACTACATAACAAAAATTCGAAGTATTATTTGAAATGCAGCTTTAATGCATTCATTTCGTTCAAGCAAAGTGCTTGAAACATTCATAAAAGCCACTCCACTTCCTGTTTATCTCAATGCTGATCCAAAACAGTGTTAAAATTCCAGATGAATGGGATAGGGGTCGCGGACCCAGGTTCCCTATAAAATCAAAACACTAAGACTAGCATTCATTTCGTGGTTACTCAACTAAAAAGTAGTTTTCAAGTTTAATATATTTAAATAGCTACCAATTTATTAAAACTTTTGCAGTTGTTTGCATTTTTATCCCCAGGTATCATACATAATTAATTGTTAATAGTATTACACACGAAAGGTTTTTTAAAAAAACTGGTATATTTGTTTATTAATTTGTAAAATTTATTAAATATTACGACTTACTAACAGTTGTAACTTATAGATTTTATTCAGATAGATTTTTATTGACACACGTAAAAAGCAATTTCCACATGATCAGAATACGTGGTAATAATTCTACTATTATTAATATTTATTGAATCAATATTATTAACACGTTGAATACCACACTAATTTTGCGTGGCTTGCCCGTCTGGCCAAACGGTAAATAACTACAAACAAAATTTGCATATATTAGACAGATTTTACTAGTTTTTTTAAAAGGTTTAGCTTACGTATCTGAAAAAGTGGTGAATTATATAAACCTACGAATTGTTTAGTAATGGTGGTGGATAAAAATCTACTATATTGAATTTTTTAAACCAAGAATCACAATTAATAAACTACTACTTGAAAATATTTATTCGTTGTCCGGAGCAAGTTGGCATCTCTGTGCAAATAAATAAAACTATTTTTGTGTGTTTTATATTGCGTTAATTTTTTCAAACCATTTTAATAACAATAATAATATAAAAAAATAAAAATTTACTCGAATTATGTATTTCTAATAATCTTGACTTTGTCGGTCACCGGTGATCCCCGTGGCGCTACGAACAAACTCAGTGCCGGTCACCGGTGACCCTCATGGCATTCAACCTATTAATATTCTGTCAGAAAAACATGCTACAAGAGCAAAGAATAAAATTCTACAGAATAATAATATTCAATTCATGATTAGGGAACATTTTTATTGGATCTGGCTTGTCCGTTCTGTCTACAATGCACCAATCAGATTTTAATTCATATATAATATGAATTTTCATTTTGAGGAAAATTTACAATAAAAAATACAGTAGTCATAGTGTTGAAATTTTGCATTAAATTTAAAAGTTCATTTTCAAAACAATTTATTCACACAAAATCGTTTGCTTATAAGAAAAAGAGGGAATATCTTTACTCTACTTCTGGAATTAAATCAAATTGAACTGTTTTGACTATTTACGAACGGCAGCTGGTAGAACATTTTGGAGTGCGCTCCAAGTCATCCATTGAATCAGTAATCCAGATAACTGGTAGAAATCAGGTAGGAGAAATCCCAGGACCTCGATTTCACACAACTAACCCCCTTTCCTGCTATTGAAGGTGAAATTGGATTGCGATGACATCCGGATGAAGGAAATGAAAATCTTTATATTCTTTCGCTTTGTTAAGGTTGCGCTTTTCACTTACTCATTAAGGAAATAATTAATCAGCATTTCAATTAACGAGAAATCAAATGTTAAGGGGCCAGGTAAATATAGATTACACATTTCAGGGACATTTCCGGGCATGCTTTACTATGCAATTTTAATTTGATGATGTGCCCTTCATCTTCAAGTCGCAATATCTAAGCGAGCCCTTATTATATATATATTGTTTTTTTTCCTTCGAAAAAAACTGTAACTGTTGCTTGAAGATAGAATCCTAGTGCAGATTTAAAATTAGCGATACGAAAGTATTTAAAATCTGTTAAAAAAAATCTCATGAAACAGAAGAAAAAAAAGTGCTGCAAGTGAAAATATGTTTTATGAATTATTTTAAGAAAATGCCATGCTAAAGCAAAAATTTCTAGCAAAATTTAAACTCCTAAATTGTTCCAAGTTTAAAGAGTATCGTTGATACTTTCCTTAGAATTCAATGGATATCAAAACAATTCGCTAAG